AGTGTGAGATTTTAACACTGTTCTCGGATGCACCTATGTCATCCAAACAAATCTTTAGAAACAGAATGTCTTTGATTCAGAACGTCATAGAATCATAGGTCTGGAAGGGACCTTGGAGGTCATCTAGTCCAACCTAGGAGCAGGAGGCTTATACTATCCCAGCCAAATGGTTATACTATCCCAGCTAAATACTATCCTGGTCTATTTTTGAAAACCTCCAGTGCTGGAGTACTCACAACCCCAGGAAGCAAGCTATTCCATTGATAAATTGCTCTCACTATCAGAAAATTCCTCTATTTTCAAAATTCAAAATTTCAGTGAGCTATCTTCTAAATCAATGGTTCTCAATCTGTGGGTCAGGACCCCATTTGGGGTTGAACGACCATTTCACAGGGGTCGCCAAACAACACAGTCCGCCATTTTCCCCCCTTTTCCTTAGCTGTGCTACTCCCTTTTATTCTATTGGCTTTTGAAAGCCAATAGAATAGACTCTCTTGAATAGAGTCTAATTCTATTGGCTTTCAAAAGCCAATAGGAATTGTCTAGGCTGTCTCTGCTCTGCTGAACCCGCCAAAAGTCCCATTCTGCAAACGGTGCTGCACCAGTTGAGTAGTCCTCGACTTACGACCGGTTGAGTAGTCCTCAACTTATGACCGGTTGGGGGTCGCGGCATTAAAAAGGTTGAGAACCACTGTTCTAAATCAAAATTTCTATGAACTCTCTTAGGAAATATCTTATCTAGTTTAACGAAGAGAAGGACAAGGGGGGACATGAGAGCAGTATTCCAATATCTCAGGGGCTGCCATAAAGAAGAGGGAATTAAGCTATTTTCCAAAGCTCCTGAAGGCAGGACAAGAAGCAACGGGTGGAAACTAATCAAGGAGAGAAGCAACCTAGAACTAAGGAGAAACTTCCTGACAGTGAGAACAATTAATCAGTGGAACAGCTTGCCTCCAGAAGCAGTAAATGCTCCAACACTGGAAGTTTTTAAGAAGAGACTGGACAGCCATTTGTCCGAAATGGTGTAGGGTTTCCTGCCCGAGCAGGGGGTTGGACTAGATGACCTCCAAGGTCCCTTCCAACTTACTACTACTACTACTACTATTATTATTATTATTATTATTATTATTATTATTATTATTATTATTATTATTATTATATAATATTATAATATCTTAATACATATTAATAAAAAGACGACATTTCAGTGAGCTGTATTCTAAAAGCTAACCTTAACATTGAAAGAACAAGCAAGCTGTTTCTATCAAGCACTATCTTAGCTTCTGAATTTCCCCAGATCTGTGTGTCCGGGTTAAGAATATCATTTGTTGTTAAATGGATTGCTAAGACACGGGATGAAGTGGATTTCTGTTGCCTGAATCTTTGAATACATTTTTTACGTTTTCTGCCTTAAGAAACAGGACTTGGGGATTTTTTTTCCAAACCAGGCGTGGTTATTTTTCTAATGAACATCAACTGCTGCTATTGGCACCTACGGCTTCTGTTCATGGGTTGGGTTCAGTTCACTCTGAATAGTTGAAGTCTCTTAATCACACACAATTAACAAAAGAATGACATGTTTAAATGGTGCTACAAATAACAAATAAATACGAATACAAGCATTCGTGTAAAGCAGTGGTTCTCAACGTTTGTGTGACGGCGACCCCCGTCACACAAACGCTCTGCGCATGCACAGTGCGCATGGGGGCGCTGCCCCCATGCGTGGCGCCCCCGTGCGGCGCCCCCACGGCACCCCCATGCGCGGCGCGCATGCGCGGTGGCGCCCCCATGCGCGGCACGCATGCACGGTGGCACCCCCATGTGCGGCACGCATGCGCGGCGGCGCCCCCTGAGGGGAGAAAATGGCGGATCGCCTTCTTTGGCGACCCCCGAAAAATGGTCGATCGACCCCAAATGGGGTCGCGACCCATAGGTTGAGAACCGCTGGTGTAAAGCAATGATTGCGACAAAGAGGCCTCTCAGAAGCATTTCCCCCAGAAAATGAATCTGTCGACTTTGGTTTCTTGCTCTTTCTGATATTTATGAATATGTCACATTTGCTTTGTTAAACTTGAGAACTGTTTTGCCAAACTAAAATTCGTGCGATGTTGTACATTGGCCACGCAAATACCTTCTGAAAAACTCTTGACTAATGAATACAGCTTCACAAGAAAAACAATTTTTTTTCTAACACAGTGGTTCTCAACCTTTTTAATGCCGCGACCCCCAACCGGTCGTAAGTTGAGGACTACTCAACCGGTCGTAAGTCGAGGACTACTCAACTGGTGCAGCACCGTTTGCAGAATGGGACTTTTGGCAGGCTCAGCAGGGCAGAGACAGCCTGGACAATTCCTATTGGCTTTTGAAAGCCAATAGAATTAGACTCTATTCAAGAGAGTCTATTCTATTGGCTTTCAAAAGCCAATAGACTAAAAGGGAGTAGCACAGCTAAGGAAAAGGGGGAAAAAATGGCGGACTGCGTTGTTTGCCGACCCCCGTGAAATGGTCGTTTGACCCCAAATGGGGTCCCGACCCACAGGTTGAGAACCACTGTTCTAACACAATGCATTTTCTTCCTTATTTTCATGAATGTATATGTGGAGCTTTCCATAATATGCACAGTTGTGGCCAATGCCAAATTGGTGGATTGATCTGAAAAAAAGGTAGAGGGACATACAAGTATCCTCAGCTTAGGTCCATAACGGAGCACAAAATTTTTGTTGTTAAGCGAGACATTTGTTAATCATGTTTTGCTCCATTTTATGACCTCTCTTGCCACAGTTGTTAAGTGAATCCCTGCATTTGTTAAATTAGCAATACGGTTGTTAAGTGAATCTGGCTTCCCCCATTGGCTTTGCTTGTCAGAAGGTCACAAAAAGGGATCACATGACCCCGGGACACTGCAACCGTCGTAAATATGAGTCAGTTGCCAAGGTGATTGTGTGACCACGGGCACGCTGCAAGGGTCGTAAGTGTGAAAAATGGTCACAAGTCACTTTTTTCAGGGCCCTTGTAACTTTGAATGGTCACTAAATGAATGGTTGTAAGTCAAGAACTTCCCGTAATGGTTTTTTTTTTTTAAAAAAAAAAACCCTCTAAATTATACTGCAAAATTTGGAGAACAATATATTTTAATGATTTAATATTAAGTTTGGTTTTAAATATTGTTTCAAAATACGACAGTAATTAAGTTTGTATTCAAATGCAAATTATACTAATTGCCCCCCACTCTAGTCATATACAGATGAGAGGTTTTTTTTTTTTTTAAAAAAAATCTCTATAATGTATTTGGCATTTTGCCAAATGATTCCACATATTGTAATTAACAGCAGCAAGATAATCTCAGATTCCGGATTCAATGACTTGATGCTGAAGGAAAGGCTTCTGGGCAGACACAGATTTTACTTGAAAATAAGTACCATTTTGTGGCAGGAAAACCTAATTTTTTTTCTTTTTTTTTTTTTAAAAAAAAGTACATAATGAGTTTCAGTGATGAGAGGAATATTAAACTAGCTACTGGATACAATTTCAAAAATAAGAACACGAGGATGCAAAGTAGTAAACAGTAATAGCGCTGCCGGCCCTTACAAGCCTATGTCAACTCAGATATTGTGGCACAGCTGAGGGCTCCATCACCGCATGTTCTTCGAATTTGTCCTTGACATCCAATCCTAGCCATGCTGCTGATATCAACAATGAATGCAAATCTGGAATACCTGCCTATCACAAACCTTAACAGCACTGTTGTACAAAACTATATGTATTCTGGATAAGAAGTGGACATATGTCGGGGATCGGGGAGAGAAAAAAAAACAATCACAGGGATTTTCCCCATCAAAGAACCAGGAAACTCCGAACTGTACAATGTACTCACAAATAAAGGCGAATATACTGAAAGCTAAAACATATGAGGAACGGTTGCTGGAATTAGGTAGGTCTAGTTCAGTGGTTCTCAACCTTTTTAATGCCGTGACCCCCCCCAACCGGTTGTAAGTCGAGTACTACTCAACCGGTTGTAAGTCGAGGACTACTCAACTGGTGCAGCACCGTTTGCAGAATGGGACTTTTGGCGGGCTCAGCAGGGCAGAGACAGCCTGGACAATTCCTATTGGCTTTTGAAAGCCAATAGAATTAGACTCTATTCAAGAGAGTCTATTCTATTGGCTTTCAAAAGCCAATTGAATAAAAGGGAGTAGCACAGCTAAGGAAAAGGGGGGAAAATGGCGGACTGCGTTGTTTGGTGACCCCCGTGAAATGGTTGCTTGACCCCAAATGGGGTCCCGACCCACAGGTTGAGAACCACTGGTCTAGTTTAACGAAGAGAAGGGCGAGCGGGGACATGATAGCAGTGTTCCAATATCTCAGGGGCTGCCACAAAGAAGAAGGAGTCAAGCCATTTTCCAAAGCGCCTGAAGGCAGGACAAGAAGCAGCGGATGGAAACTGACCAAGGAGAGAAGCAACCTAGAACTAAAGAGAAACTTCCTGACAGTTAGAACAATTAACCAGTGGAACAACCTGCCTCCAGAAGTGGTGACTGCTCCAACACTGGAAGTTTTTAAGAAGAGACTGGACAGCCATTTGTCTGTAATGGTATAGAGTTTCCTGCCTGAGCAGGGGGTTGGACTAGATGACCTCCAAGGATAATGTTACAGGATCCACTCTGGGTTGATCACCAGGACCAGAGATTTTGCCTTCCAAGCTTTTGGACTTGTGCTGGAGCCCATCCTCAGGGAACTTCTCCCACTGCTAGAGCGAAGTTCCCTGAGGATGGGGTCCAGCACGAATCCAAAAGCTCGGAAGGCTAAACCTCGATCTCAGTGATCGACCCAGATTGGATCCTATACAATTTTGTTTTTTAGTTTGCTGAAATATACCGTACCAAATAATCTGTTGGCTTTTCTACTTTGTAATGTACTATTTTATTTATTGATTGAATTCATAGACAAATGCACCAGAGAACTATAAAATCAGTTATATATATACCAAGGTAGTCACTCACCTGATAATATAAAAGTAATGAAGTTCCTCAAATTGCTAGACAATGGAGCATCCAATAGCGATCGTAATTGCAATACATTTGGCAATTCTATTCTGGAAACATCTGGAGATCTGTCAGTCAGCTAAAAGTATGAAAGTTTTCTCTTCCTTGGAGATTTTAGGAGAATGAGGTGGGGAAAGCGTCCTTAGATCAATTCACCGCATTGCGTGAAAGCTGTTTCTATTTCTTCCAATAGAAGGGGCAGAGTCTTTTCTGTGCACGGATATTTTAAAAATCAGTCCTGTAACAATGAGGGCAGCAGAATTTGACAACAGTGAGGAAAAACACTCTTCCATGAAAGAGGTAGAAAACATATGTTAAATATTTAGCGTGGCAGAAAAGTCTTTCTTAAGTGGGTTTGTTAATCCATGAATGGCACTCTACTGAGATCCTTCTGGTCATCATTACAGGGGATCCTTTCTTTCAGTGCAGACCAAGTACTCACAGGGCCAATGAAGTTCAGCGGTGGGCTGGTAGCCTATAGTTCTGTAAATCAGGGGTCCCTAACCTCCTGGTCTGTGGCCTGTTAGGAACCGGCCACACAGCCAGAGGTGAGCAGTGGGGCGAAACTGGTTCCTGGTGCCAAAAAGGTTGGGGGCCACTGCTGTAGATCTATGAGGGTGTAAAATTATCCTGCAAGTTAATTTGCAGGGAAGCTACTGCATTACCAGAAATATCCATTTAAGTTAATATTTCAGGTAGCAAATCAAATCATGGGTTATCAGAGAAATTAAGCCAGATTATGGCCTCCACAAGAAACTGGATACATGGTGAGCCTGCATAGCAGAGCTCTCAGCAACTTAGATTGATCTGTCTCGATTGGGGTTAAGTCTCCATAGTAGCAAATCTGTGTGTAATAAACCAAGTGGCTGATTATCTTGGCTCTGAAAATATTTGTAGCAGCAGGGAAGTAGTTGTTGCCATTACAATTGGCAGGACACAAAATTGCTTTTGTGAGTTTCAGGGCCCTAGCTGTGACTTCCTGTTGCTGATGGTTTCAGGTTGCCAGATCTTTGAAATAAATGCCCTACTATCTCATGACCTTAAGTTGATCAGTGTTAGAATTGGGCAAAAGCACGAAGACCCTGTATCAGGCCACTTGAGAACTGCTGTCAGGCATTCATATAAAAGTTAAAAAGAAGGGTAGGCAAAAATGCAACAGAACCTTATGATAAACTGATGGCAATAGAAGCGACGCAGCAAAAGAGACATAAGAAACAACTTGTAACTAATTTTTAGATAGTAATTCTCATCGTAAATTAAGGCTGACATATCTAGGTTGCAAAAATGTGGAGAACCAGGAGGGGGCAGCAAGGAAGTACAAAAAAATTCTAAGTGGTTTAGTCCAAATATAATAATTTCTAATTTATAATCACATACGTGCAAACACATCCAAACACATTAATAGGCATATATAGCCATCACTCTATTCCTTTTGGCTTAAGTAATGTTATGTAAAGTACAGTAAAAGGGTAAGAAGTAACAAATAAAAGAAATTAAAGATAGGAGGAAATCTGACTGATTTTATTTTATGGAAGTATGTTCACTATATCTTCTTATTCTTGCAAACTATCCACCCTTTGACCAGACTGAAACTCCAAATAATAAACTATACTTTAAAATCCTTACCTCTCTTTTTCTGGGGAATCTCAACATTTCTTGGTCTTTCTTTTCCTTTCAACGCATTCATCCTTCAGAGATTAGTTTTGCTATTTCATCTTTACTCAATCCCTCTAGATCACTTTCTATAGTTCTTCCACTAACATATCTATACAAAACATGGCTGGTCAACCAGGTATCACCCCATCCTGACCACTATCTTTTCTTCACTATAATACAGGTCAAGCGGGGAGTGACCGTGTTTTGATGCAATGATGAAATAATTAAAAGCCAGAAAACAAAACAAAAAAACCCCTTTAATATAATGTCAATCGATTGGGGGATCTACTCATAGGTTCAGATGGATGCAAATATTCAGGCTAGACTTTCTTGGAGAAATAGTATCGTGTAAATCCTGGACAACAGAGCTGTATGAAGGTTTTTATTTTTATTTTTTTAATATCCATGTATGATTTTCCTCTTGTCAGACCAAAAAGTGTTCCCTCTCCACTTTTTCTTTACTTTACCTCAGCAATTTTTGCCAATTCCATCCTGGTCAGTTTCATCCTCTCCTTCCTGCTTGAAGTTTTTTAGAAGGTGCTCTGTTGTCAGGTCAGTTTCATCCATTTGCCTCAGAACGGAGAAAAGAGGGGAGTTTATCAAGCAATGGAATAGCTTTCCCTGTGACACCAAGTGAACTGAAACACAGCTGAGGCCACCATCAAAGGGAACATCTACTTACTAGAAAGAGTATCAACTGCCTCTTGTCTTCCATGAGGTTGAAGTATCCTGGAAGGAAGGCAAGTAGAAAGGGTGGAAGGTAGAAGGAATGAGATGTCCAGCAAGGACTTGCTTTTTTCCAGCATCCAAAAGCAGATGGCTACAGAGCCACAGAATCCAGACCACTAATTGCAAGGGATGGTCCTTCAGTGGGCTACTTGGAGTCCAGAACATCCTTGACTATTAAAGGATCTTTCTTGACCTAGAATGTCCAAAGGAGAGGTTTTCTTCTATTGTGTCAGGATAACATGACTTTTTTACCCCTTCATGGATTACTGCCTTGTCGTGGCGAAGGGGCTTGCACAACTCAATGAAGCTATAAGCTATGCCGTGCAGGGCCACCCAAGACGGACAGGTCATAGCAGAGAGTTCTGACAAAATGTGATCCACTGGAGAAGGAAATGGCAAACCACTCCAGTATCTTTGCCATGAAAACCCCATGGACAGTACTAAAAGGCAAAAAGATATGATGCTGGAAGATGAGCCCCTCAGGTTGGAAGGTGTCCAATATGCTACTGGGGAAGAGTAGAGGGCTAGTACTAGTAGCACCAGAAAGAATGAAATGACTGGGCCAAAGCCGAAAGGACGCTTAGCTGTGGATATATCTGGTGATGAAAGGAAAGTCCGATGCTGTAAAGATTTTTTCTCCATAGGAACCTGGAATGTAAGATCCATGAATCAAGGCAAGCTAGACGTAGTCAAAAAAGAGATGACAAGAATGAACATCGACATCTTAGGAATCAGCGAACTAAAATGGACAGGACTGGGTGAATTTAACTCAGATGACCATCAGGTATACTACTGTGGGCAAGAATCCCTCAGAAGAAATGGAGTAGCCTTCATAGTCAATAAAAGAATAGGAAAAGCAATACTGGAATACAATCCCCAAAATGACAGAATGATCTCAATTCGGATCCAAGGCAAACCATTCAATATCACAATAGTCCAAATCTATGCCCCAACCACTGGTGCTGAAGAGGATGAAATTGACCGGTTCTATGAAGCCCTACAGCACCTTCTAGAATTAACACCAAAAAATGATGTCCTTATCATCATGGGGGATTGGAATGCTAAGGTAGGAAGCCAAAAGATAACCGGAATAACAGGCAAGTTTGGCTTTGGAGTTCAAAATGAAGCAGGGCACAGGCTGATAGAATTTTGTCAAGAGAATACGATGGTCATAACAAACACTCTTTTCCAACAACCCAAGAGACGGCTCTACCCATGGACATCACCAGACGGTCAACATAGAAATCAGATTGACTATGTGCTCTGCAGCCAAAGATGGAGAAGCTTTATACAGTCAGTAAAAACAAGACCAGGAGCTGACTGTGGCTCAGATCATGAGCTTCTCATTGCAAAATTTAGGCTTAAATTGAAAAAAAGTAGGGAAAAGCACTAGGCCACTCAGGTATGAACTAAATCATATTCCTGATGAATATACAGTAGAGGTGACAAATAGATTTTAGGAATTAGATCTGATAGACAGAGTGCCTATGGATGGAAGTTTGCAACATTGTACAAGAGGTAGCAACTAAAACCATCCCAAAGAAAAAGAAATGCAAGAAAGCAAAATGGCTGTCTGAGGAAGCTTTGCAAATAGCTGAGGAAAGAAGGGAAGCAAAAGGCAAAGGAGAAAGAGAAAGATACACCCAATTGAATGCAGAATTCCAGAGAATAGCTAGAAGAGATAAGAATTCCTTCTTAAATGAACAGTGCAAAGAAATAGAAGAAAACAATAGAATAGGGAGGACCAGAGATCTCTTCAAGAAAATTGGAGATATGAAGGGAACGTTTCATGCAAAGATGGGCATGATAAAGGACCAAAATGGCAGGGACCTAACAGAGGCAGAAGAAATTAAGAAGAGATGGCAAAACTACACAGAAGAACTATACAAGAATGAGCTTAACATCCCAGATAACAACAATGAGATGGTCACTGACCTCGAACCAGACATCCTAGAATGTGAAGTGAAATGGGCCTTAGAAAATCTGAGCAACAACAAAGCTAGTGGAGGTGACAGTATTCCAGTTGAGCTATTCAAAATCTTAAAAGACGATGCAGTAAAAGTCTACACTCAATTTGCCAGCAAATTTGGAAAACTCAACAGTGGCCACAGGATTGGAAAAGGTCAGTTTACATTCCAATTCCAAAGAAAGGCAATGCCAAAGAATGTTCAAACTATAGCACCATTGCTCTCATTTCACATGCTAGTAAAGTTATGCTTAAAATCCTACAAGCTAGACTCCAGCAGTATGTGGATCGAGAACTACCAGAAGTACAGGCAGGATTTCGAAGAGGCAGAGGAACTAGAGATCAAATTGCCAACATACGCTGGATCATGGAGAAAGCTAGGGAGTTCCAGAAAAACATCTACTTCTGCTTCATTGATTATGCAAAAGCCTTTGATTGTGTGGATCACAACAAATTGTGGCAAGTTCTTAAAGAGATGGGAGTACCAGACCATCTCATTTGTCTCCTGAGAAACCTATATGCGGGTCAAGAAGCAACAGTGAGAACCGAACACGGAACCACTGATTGGTTCAAAATTGGAAAGGAGTCCGGCAAGGCTGTATACTGTCGCCCTGCCTATTTAACTTATATGCAGAGCACATCATGAGAAAGGCAGGGCTAGATGAATCAAAAGTTGGAATTAAGATTGCCGGGAGAAATATCAACAACCTAAGATATGCAGATGATACCACTCTAATGGCAGAAAGTGAAGAGTAACTAAAGAGCCTCTTGATGCGGGTGAAGAAGGAGAGTGCAAAAGTTGGCTTGAAACTCAACATTAAGAAAACCAAAATCATGGCATCCGGCCCTCTCAATTCTGGCAAATAGATGGGGAAGAAATGGAGGTAGTGACAGATTTTATTTTTCTGGGCTCAAAGATCACCTCAGATGGGGACTGCAGCCAAGAAATTAAAAGATGCTTGCTCCTGGGGAGGAAAGCTATGGCAAATCTAGACAGCATACTAAAAAGCAGAGACATCACCCTGCCAACAAAAGTGCGTATAGTCCAGGCCATGGTTTTTCCAGTTGCAATGTATGGCTGTGAAAGTTGGACCATAAGAAAGGCTGAGTGCCAAAGAATTGAGGCCTTTGAACTATGGTGCTGGAGAAGACTCTTGCGAGTCCCTTGGACTGCAAGGCGTTCAAACCGGTCAGTCCTAGAAGAGATCAACCCGACTGCTCTTTAGAAGGCCAGATCCTGAAGTTGAAACTCAAATACTTTGGCCACCTAATGAGAAGGAAGGACTCACTGGAGAAGGGCCTAATGCTGGGAAAGATTGAGGGCAATAGAAGAAGGGGACGACAGAGAATGAGGTGGCTGGATGGAGTCACTGAAGAAGTAGGTGTGAACTTAAATGGATTCCAGAAGATGGTAGAGGACAGGAAGACCTGGAGGAATATTGTCCATGGGGTCGCGATGGGTCAGACACGACTTCGCAATTAACAACAACAACAACACGACTTTTGAGCCAAAGCACATTGGAGCATGCCCAGCCTGCCTCAACAATGAGCTAACAAAGAGATTGAGGCTCTATTGTGTGGGCATGTCCTAGAACAGGCATATCAAACTGCTGTCCCACAGGCCGGATGCATCATGCCAAAACCGCGCCCACCCCATTGTCAGCAATGGGGAAAATGTTGCGTGACATCACATGATGTTGTGAGTTTGATATGCCAGTCCTAGAAAAATGAAGTTATTTTAGTGAATCTTGTATATGTGTCCAATCTTGTTTATATCCAAGAGACTAAACATGCCAAGTTATATTGGTGAGTCTTCAGCTAGGTCAGGGGTAGGCAACCTTGGCTCTTTTATGACTCGTGGACTTCAACTCCCAGAATTCCTGAGCCAGCATGGCTGGCTCAGGAATTCTGGGAGTTGAAGTTCCCAAGTCATAAAAGAGCCAAGGTTGCCTACCTCTGAGCTAGGTAAACCAGTTCTTGAATATGGGGTTAAATGACTGGAGAACTGAGATCTCTCTTTCTCTCTCTGCTATGAATTCTGGCAGGTGCCTCCTGATGATAACCATTTCTTTATGTTTACTAGATATGTTATCTTGGTTGGAGTTTTTCCTTCCTCCTGAAATAAGCCTCCTTCACTTTTTTACTTTCAGATTTTGATGATGGACCTTGACAATGCATGGTAGTCAAACATTAGGCCTCCCTGAGCAATTCAGAATCCCAACATGCTATTTTAATGCACATAGAATAATGACTTTTACCCAAAACTGGGTGAAATGATTATATAAGTAAATATGCAGCTGGAGATCAAATGAATTTATTGAACCACACCACTAGCAGCACCAAAAACAACAACAAATACACCCAAACCCTAATGTCTGACTAAATACAAACCATACTTAGAATAAACTCCTTTTGCTATCTTCTCCCTTACTTGAAACAAATGGATTAAAACTCTTTCTAAACTTCCTCTTCTTTTTGCATGAAACACCAGTTGTCCCAACTCCAGCAGTTCTGATTAAGTTCCTAATCTCTTTCCTCAACTTTTCCCCAACCCTGTTTGGAAAGCAGAATATATTTAACCTCCTCAAGGGGAACCAATCCCCGGTGATGCCAATCAGGCCACCCACTCATCTAGCTCACATTGTCTTTGCTGCAGTTGTGGCTAGCTGTGCCTTGCCCTAATACTTTGGCTGAGTAGAGAAGCGGAGGTTCTGAATGTGCAAATGGATGACCTCCTCATCCATAGCATCAAACAACAGCATTGAAATGCTGTGTTGCGATGCTTCAAACCTTCTCTGTTCAGCCTCTGTACCATCTCTAGAGCATTGGTAGCTATGGCAGACTGTCTCTCACCCACCTGGATCCTCTGCTGCTTTGTCTTTGATATGAATGATGGTCCATGATTGCTCTGTGAGCCTTCAGGGACTCTCCACGGGTTCTCAAAGTTTCTTAAGTCTCATCTGGAGTTTCTTCTGGTTGAACCTGAGATCTTTAGAGACAACTAAGCTACAGGTCTTCCCCTAAAATCAAAGAGAGAAGCAACCTGAAATTAAGGAGAAACTTCCTGACAGTGAGAACAATTAACCAGTGGAACAGCTTGCCTTCAGAAATCGTGGGCGCTCC